AGGATTCTATGATTCTATGATTTTGTATTCTAAACAGAATAGGAATCAGGGCATTATTCTCTACACTGACAAGAGCCTCAACAGTCAGAAATAATAATGATGAATAAAATATATTGTTCTGAAGGCCATCTCAGGATCTGTCTTGTGTTGCTTGTTGCTATTGTCCCATTCTATAATACATTGCTCCCTTTTTAGACTGGCTGAGATTAATTCCTGAATCTGAGCCTTTAAAAAAATGTTCTAAACACCCTAGATAATTTTGATTGAGCTTGGTTAGGGAACAGCAGCACATGTTACTCTGTAATCAGCAGGTGAAAGTCTATTGAGAGAGAGTGAGGATGGGAAAGAGGAAGAGAAGTCACGAACATTTACAGGTGGGCTGCAGGGGTGTATTTATCAACCTTATTGTCCTACTGCTAGCACAGTATATAAAATGAAAGCCAGAAGTGCTTTAATGTAATGAAAGAGTTCTTAAAACCAGCAGAATTTAGTGGTGGTTGTTGCTAGGGAAATTTGGCCCTGCATGTTGCCTGGCATTAACAGGTTCCTGCTTCACGTGTAGTGTTTGCATCCAGAATAATTAAAAGCAATCTCCTGGTTGTCCTGTCTGTTCCATTAATCACATGATTAGTTTTCTCTTTGTCACATCTACTTAATTTCCAGAAAACTCAACTAGAATACATGATCTTGATTTGTATATGTATTTCAGAGCTAATCCTGGGGGAAAAAAACCCAAACCAAACCCTGCCACTCCCTCACCTAACCCCCCCCCCCCAAATAAATAAACAAAACAAAACAAAAACAAAACCAAAATATGTATGTTCAGGTATTTTTTTCATGGTATAGCGCATACACACAGAGCCAAAAAATAAGGTGTTAAGTACTTGAAATGAGGGGGATGCCTGGAGATTGGGCAGCTTTGGGATATGCTTAGCAATTTTCTGTACCCAAGATGAAACTGTAGCATGAGCATATGTCCCATAAAGCACCTTTTGAGAGCTCCCCTTAATAGAATCAGAGTGGTTTTGTTTCCTAATGGCTGCTTCCATGTTCTCATTCTGCCTTTTCTTTACTTACACCTATAGGTGACTGTAATTGCTGTAAGTCAGTCCTTCTTCAGCCACTGCTTGCAGTCAATGCTTCTAATCCTATCATTTCTAGGAAGAACATAATTAAAGCAAAGCTTTAATTATTGTTAATACTTACTGCTGGCATCATAAATGACTCAAATCCACATCCTTTTAAATTAAAAACATAATTATGTTTACTCTGCTTCTTTCTACTTGAGTGAAAACAATATCCTGTTGGGTTTTGTTACTTAAAAGGTTATGAGTTAATAATGAAAAAAATCAGTATTCCATGCAGATCTGATAACAGGATTGATCAGTCAAGATTCTTTTCTAGCACAGAGCAGTCCTTAGCTTAAGGAAATGCGGGGCAGAAGAGGATTTGTAACTATGTTTGTCTTGGAAAGAAGTTACATCTATGTCAACTGTTGATTTCTAGTAGGAGGTATATTTTCCTCCTGTCAATGTACATCGTTTCTTGTTAAGCTGAAAAATTTTAAAAGAAGCAAACATATTTCTGAAATGAAGTTTGAGGTAAGCAGTTTCCTATTCAGATCTGAAACTCCTGTATGTTAGGAGCCTAAAGCATCTAGTGTCCAAATCTCCCAGATGTGTAATAGCTTGTTAAATTGAGCTAAGCAGCAGTAAGAGGGGAAGTAAATTGTGTTGAGAGTAGTAAAACTTTGAGCTTTGTGGGAAAACTCGTTGCTGTCAGCTGAGGGCCTGGGCTTGAATTTTCCCTATATTGCTTTGTGAATTGAATTGGCTAAAATGCCACTTTCATGTTTTTATCTTTAGGCATTCTTGATTTAACTGCTGATTTCTCTCTTACAGACATATCTTTATTTTACTTTTCTTTATCTCCCAGGAATAGTTAGGATACCCGTCTTGTACTTGTTAATTTCTGCTTAGTAAGTGTTCTGTAGCAGAAAATTCCAGTTGATGCCTAAAATGCTTCTTATTACTACCATCTGTTGAGAAAAGGTGAAACAAAAAATAATGGTTTTCCTTTATTTCTGAGCAGTACATAGCAAAAATTATAGAGGACAGAAGTGAGATTATCCAAACCCAAGGAAATGATTAAAAAAACAAATTCTTGCATGAAAAGAAATATGGGGCTTAATTAGAGGTGACTGGGCAATGAAGAGATTTTTGCAAAAATATTGTAAATTCAAGGTCAATTCTAAAACATGTTCAGATCATTGTGTTTGATGTGTTGGGGGCAGTGTCTGAAACGTTTCTTATTTTGAGAAAAATAAAACCAGAGTTCAGTTAGAGGCATGCAAATGAGATGGCCTCTGTTTCTGTTCCTCTCAAGTCTTTGTACTTTATTCTTTCTGTGTCTCATGTTCATTTTGGGATTTTTCTTGCAGTTTGCTTCTTAGCCCTTGCACACATGGAGTTTAGAAGCATTCACAAAGAAAGTGCTTTCATTACTAATCAAGAAGTCTATCCAGTGAAGTTTGTTGTCTTTGCTGTCACAGTAGTTCAGTCGTTTAGCAATGATACCTGTAGGCTTTTGTATGCTTCAGTGATAGGGCTTCATTTGTGTAACTGTCAGTAAGACTTCACAACATGAGACACAGCTCTTTGAAGTCCTTGGTAATCTTTTGTTGGTTGGTGAAGAGTTTGGGCCCAGAAGGAATAAATGGCCACCCGATCCCCTCTCTTTTTAACTGCTGGGGAGACCGTGTCCTGGCTGTTATAGAAGACTACTAGGAGGAAAGATTGAGTTTTTGTTCAGTGGTCTGTGGGATAATTCCATTTTTCCTTCTTTTACATTGAAAAAATCTATTTCATATGTTGACAACTTGTCTGATTTCTGTCTTCTGTGAAATGGCTGCATTTCTTTGGGATGGTTTTGACTAACTGGAAGGAGAGTGTGTTTAAGTGCAGAAATGTAGACTATATAGAATAGGTCATAAAATATCTGGCTAAAAAGGAAAAAGTAAGAAATGATGTTAAAGCGTTTCTGCTAAAATGTTCATTAATGAGCAGTACTAAGCTTACTCAAGAAACTTTTTAAAATACAGTGTTCTAATATTTCCCACTGGCTTATAGTATTGTATTGAGAGGTTCTTAAGAATATGTAAGTCTATAATACCTGTATTAGCTTCTCTGTTAATGAATACTATAATAAAATAAACGGGCTTCACTTCATACTTCACATTTTGTGAAGGAGGAGTGGTGCTGTTCAGTTCAGCGTTGTATTTAAGAAGGAGAAGGTTCAAGTTTGAGTGACCTAGATTTTTGTCTCTACTGTGTAAAAAGGGAAGTCATTCTTTGTGAACCTCTCTAAATGAGAGGTAATGTATGAACATAAGTAACAAATTGTGTCTTTTGTCTTGGTACTCAATCTATTCAGGCTTGAGCTATGCTATTAAAGATACTGAATGCTATATGTTACGCAACTCAACCTTTTTTCAAATAACTTTAAACACCTGTAATGTTTTGTTGGGATCTGAGTTGATGTAATCTGCCAAAATAGCTCTCTTGACAGTTCCATTGTTAAGAACTTAAGTTCTATGTACCAGAAGTAATAGAATGCTCTTTGTGTTTAGATGAAGAAGATGACTTTGTCAATAAAAGAGCATCCCTGAAACCAAAGGAGAATGGGACGTCAGCGATCAGCTGTCCAGGAGCAACTACAGTGAAAAAGGAAGGTGTAAAACCACGAGCTAAAAGCAAACCGTTATCTCCAGTGAAGCAGACTCCCATCTCAGCACTTGATTACTTTGGGACGAGTAGTGTCCAACGATCAGAAAGGAAACTGGTAGCAAGTAAAAGGAAAGAAGTGAGTACTGATGATGTTCCTCTAGGCTGCTCATGTGTCTTGGCAGCAGAACAAAATGGCCAGTTTAATGCCTGCAGAGGGATACTTAACTGCTTGTCCTACTTAATGTTACATTTTAGTGGTCGCTCAAGTGCAAGTTAATTCTGATTATATGTGCAGCCATATCACAGAGAATGGTAGGGGTTGGGAGGGACCTCTGGAGATCAGCTGGTCCAACCCCACTTGCCAAAGGAGGTTCACCTAAGGCAGGTTACACAGAAATGCATCCGGGCAAGTTTTGAAAGTCTCCAGAGAAGGTGACTCCACAACCTCTCTGGGCAGCCTGTTCCAGTGCCCCATCACCCTCACAGTAAAGGAGTTTTTCTGATGTCGAGGAGGAGCTTTCTGTGTTCCAGTTTGTGCCCATCCTCTTGACACATGCCCTTTAAGTATTTATAAATATGAATAAGATGTCTTCTCAGCCAGATCTCTTCACCCTTTACATATAAGAGGTGCTCCAGTCCTCTAATTATCTTTGTAGCCCTCTGTTGGACTCTTTCCAGTAGTTCCCTGTCCCTTTTGAACTGGGGAGCACAGAACTGCTCACAGTACTCCTGATGTGGCCTTACCAGGGCAGAGTAGAGAGGGAGGAGAACATCCCTCGATCTGCAGGTCATTCTCTTAATGCATCTGAGGATACTGTCGGCCTTGTTGGCCTCAAGGGCATGCTGATCGCTCGCAGTGAACTTCCTAATCCTCAAGTGCAAGTTTAGTGTCGCATGTCCGTGACTGAGAAGATGGCACAAAATTCAATATGGTATTTTCTATATTGCTTCTTCTCAAGAAACTTTTCTTAAAATTAAGTCGTTTACTGAATAGTTTTCCTCGCTGAGTGGATGGGATTGCTGGGGGTTTGGGCATAGTTAGGAGACGGAGAGCAGGTACAAGACAAAGGAGATTGTTTTCCTGAGCTTTATGGCACGTAAATTTGTGGAATTACAAAGCACCAAGTAATGTATGGAGGAAATGAAAGAGAAATCAGTAACTACACTGGAAATTTCTTAAGCAGGCCAACTGTGATGGCTTCAGAGATGTTCAGTATTGTTTGGAGAAATGAAGTATTTATAGGATGTTTTTGTTTTGAATAGTAAAATCTCTTGAAAACAGTCTTGTTTAATAGTGCTTTGGTTAGAGAGCTAGGAATAAAACGCTGCGTATCTCATTCCTAGTCCTTTTAAAGCAGTATACAAAATCCATACAGATGAAATTGTTGTACAGTTGTACACAATATTGGGAAAACTGAACTGTTGGTGTTTTTTTCTTAAATCTAGCCTTCACAAAGCAGCGACAGCACACTGGATGATGAGGCCATTGCTAGGCAACTGCAGCTTGAAGAAGATTCAGAGGTAAAAGCTCTATAAATTTGCTGCTCTGTGCCAAGAGCAGTTTAACTTAGAATTGTACATCCATGAGAAATTAAGATAGACTTTCCATATATGCTGTAAATAAGTGTAATAAAATTAATCTGTATACTTAACTCTTGCACATGTGCAAACATAGTCACACAGGTATTTTTATGGGCATTATTTCAATTACAGAAATAAAAAATACCACTTAATCTATTTTCCGTCTATCCAGGCTTTACCTGTGCAGCTGATGAGTTGATATATCTGTCATCATCTTGCTGTTCACAGAATTCACTTTCTGCTGCTTCATGTTTTTGGGCTTTTGGCTTTTAGTTTTGATGGTGGTTTCCACGCCCCCTCATTCCCTGGAGTGAAAAATGAAAAGCCATGGCCATCCACAATTTGTTTCACTTCTGATCTATTTTTCTCAACTATGGGAAAAATGTGAATGACCATTCCATGTGTGTCTTTAATTTTCCTGTTTGAATTAGTGCTAATATGAGGGAAAGGAACACTTGCCATACGTATTTGGTTGCTTTGGGGAAAATCAGTTAATTTTCTGTATATTGGTAATATCGAGTTTAATTTTAAATAACTAACGTATATGTGCAAAACTTAGTGTCATCCTTGACCTCCCCAGAGATGTGACTTTCTTCTATTAGATAGTTGAACAGCTTGTCAGTAAGAACAAGGTGTTTTCTTTCATTTGAAATATTTATCATCAAAGGAATGCACTTTATTTCAGATGTGTCTCTGCCTTGGTCTAGTTTGCGTTTGATAGTTGCTGCCCGTCCCCTTTTGCTCTGTACACAGGGAAGATAAACGCATTTTGCTGTTACGGGCACATAAAAATGATGCCTGTGGCACATTGGTTTTATAAAGTCATCTGTTTGAATCTTCTAGCATGATGTTTTGGACTTCCAAAAAACCATGAAAGGATTTTTGTAGTTTTGTTAAAACAACAGTCAATATCTTTTGGCAACATTATACACTATTCAGGAGCAAAAAAAGTTTTCCCCTATGAAAAAAAAGTTTCCTATTATATAGGAAAGGTAACCTAGTCAGTTGTAATTGTAGATACCACATTTATCTTATGTGAAATAAAAACAACGTGGCCTTGTCTTTTTGCAATTAATTTCTTTTGGATTCCATATGCACTATTTGTTCTTAAGGGCTCTGTCAAAGACAGTTGTGTAAGTAGAAATACTAAAAAGTTAAAAGTAAATTTGTTTCTGTGAAGTAAACAGAAATGGCAACAAGACCTGGGCTAAGAGTAGTAGCTAAATTCTTCAAAACTACCAACATTTTTTTCACATGATGTGTTGCTAGCAGTAAACGAGACTAAAACGTTAATTACTGAGCCATTGTAATACTTGCAAGAGGGAACATTGCCTGTTTTTTTAGGACTGCTTTTGGAAGCTTGCTTAAAGCAAGCGTGTTGCATCTCTGTGCAAGCCTGTTGTTGTGATATCTGGCCTTCAAGTTTTGATTTTTAAGATTTTGATTAATAAATGAAAAGGGCATAAAACAAAAAATATGAAGGAATAGAAAAACTCCTTGAAAATGGACTGTACAGACTTAATGTTTCTAGTGCAATAAATCCAAACTTTACTTCTCTCACTAGACTTCAGTCTCTCTTTTTGGGGGATAAACAAGTAATTTGTCACTGTAATTTTCAGAAGTTTATTTTCCTCTGGTAGGATGTGCTATGTGCTATATTTTAGATCAACTTGTTGCCTTGAACAGCAAATAAGAGTTTTAAAAAAAAAATAGTAGAATTAAAACTTGTCAGACATGAGCCTAAAATCTTTCTTTTCTTCTGGTTGTCTTTCAGCTGGAGAGACAGCTGCATGAAGATGAAGAATTTGCTAAAACATTGGCCATGTTAGATGAAGTGCCACAGAAGAAAAAGGTTCAGTTCTTTTTAAATGATAGTTTTTAGAAATTGCATTGCTAGGAGCGTTCTTATTTAGACATCAAAACTTTGTTTTGAGACTTCCATACAAATGGGTTAAAACCAGCAAGAGTTTGCATGAAAAACAATATGCTTGTTTCCTCCTGGATTTTCCTCACTCAGTAAATAGTGTCCTTCCTAGTCAGACAGTAGGCATCACTGTACCTTTGTGCTATCTGCTTCTGTTGAAATGGGCTTTTAATTTCTAATCAACTGAAGTGTGTTGCTGAAGGACTCAGTTTAGATCAGCTGTAGCTCTGTTGGTTCAGGAGGACAAGATCAAGTAAAATGGCAGATGTTGGTGAGAAGTGGTGGGAGAAAAAGGGAGGAGGAGAATCCTCTCCTTGCTTTGAGAGACGCTGCAAGCCCAGATCTTGAGAGTTTTGAGACCAATCTAAGTGGAGGGGATTTTCCCAATTCTTGTAGGCTGTGATACAAGGCACAGTAAAATGTTTTCTGTGTTCTACATCAAGGCTCTTAGAATTTCAGATTGCTAATGAGTATAGCAAATATTAGTACTTTTAGACTAATCATTAAACTAATTAGGATTGAAATTTACTGTAACCTGGGAGATTGTCTGAAAAAATTTGTGCGCGACTGAGTGCAGAACTTGCTCGTGCACCCACCTGTGATAGAGATTGTGTTCCGACTTGTGATGGGGATCAGATTTCTTAGATGTTACTTAGTCTGATGTGCTTAACAGTAGGGAAACTTGGGGATCTGGACTTAATGGTAGCTCTGGACACGCACCTCTGACTTTGGCATTTTGTGTTTGTTTAGGCTCGGAAAGATTCAGGAGGAGAGCAAACAGTATTGAGCATCAAGAGCAGTCCTAATGTGACAGAAAGATCTAAGCAGTCAGAAAGAGGTAGGACGTGGAATATAGATGATGTTTCATGAATTTATAATATTAGACACAGTCTTATGTGTGTGCTCTCTTCTCTGCCTCCTTTCAAGTGAAAGCAACAAACTCAACAGGTGAAGCAAAGAATTACACTGCGAAGCAGCAAGCTAAATCTGAACACTCCAAAGGCTCTAATTTATCCCCACCCTCATCTGATGGTAAAATAGCAAGAGAGTTAACTGATAAGACCTTGCCTTTGAAACCTAGCTCTAAGCTTGTTTCTCTGAAACAAAAAGAAGAGATTGCTGAAAGAGGTGCCCAAAGTTCAGTATCAAAAGAAAAAACTTCTTCAGGGAAAGAAGAGAAGACAACACCAAAGAAGCAGAAAATTTCTCCCAAGAAGAGTGAGGTAGGAGCTATCAAAATGATTTTAGTCCTCTTGGTGGAGTTTGCAGGAAAATATTTTTCATGTATTACTGTATCATTGTTGTAATTTGGTACTTTGAATCTTCTGGGAAACTTTTAAGGATTCAAATTCTGGTAAGGCTTTAAGTTCCAAGCAATTGTAAAAACACAGAAAAAAGTATCTGGAAAAGAGTAAATAGTTTTTGAAGGAACTGAGAAAATTTTTAGTGCTCATTAAGGTATTTGTGTGCACTACCAAATCAGTTCAGTGCTTTTGCATGTTTAACTTTTCTGAAAACGTGCAGAGTGCTGGAATTCTGACACTTCCCTAGTGGGTGAAAGCTGCTTGTGTGAGCATGGCAACCTTACGGACCTATACTGCTGTTAGAATGACAAGCAGCATTGTTTGGGTTTTTTCCCCTCCTCTCCCTTCCTAGTCTCCTTTTTCTGAAGTATATTTCTTATGATGGATATGCTATGTAGGAATGTAATATAGTTTTAGGTCTGATTCAGTAACTGGCAGTTATTTGTGACCCTAAAACATATTTTTTAATCAAACTATGAAATATTCAATTTTGACACTTCAATAACATTTGTAACTGGGAGGGAGATGCTTCAATGTTTTTGGAGCCGAGTTTTAAAATTTTCACCAATTCAAAACCTTAAGTGTCTTAAAGTCTTACATAAAACTAGAAATACTACAAAGTGTAGATCTTGTCTAGACCCAATCATCATTCTAAAATAAAATAACATGTTAGTTCATAAATTGTTGCTTTAAATTAAGTGAGACTGTACATGTGGAATACAGATGAATCTACAGAAGCTTGACAATAAACAAGGGGTACATATTTTTTTAGACGCTCAGGTAAGTTTTTGTAATCTTTGTAAAAAGCACAACAGTGCCTCAAAACACAAGCACCAAAACCAGACCAGGCTTCGATGTGGTATGTTAGTAGATGAAAAACAAGTGTTAGAACTTATTTTCCTTTGGTACAAAAAAATTTTTTAAACAGTGATGCTTGAGTTTATTTTTTTGTTTTTATGTATATAATGAGTGTATTAATTTTTACCCTCCTTCCCAAGTCTGTAAGTCCTGAGGACTCGGAGAAGAAGCGGATTAATTATCAAGCCTATCGAAGCTTCCTTAATCGTGAGGGTCCGAAAGCGTTGGGCTCCAAAGAGATACCTCAGGTAAGTTTGGCTATAACAGAATTCTGTGTGTAGAAGTGTGTAGAAACATGACTTCCCTTTGGTAAAAGGCCAGCCTGATAGCCTTCTATGAAGAAATAAACAGGTGGATAGAAGATGGTAATGCAGTGGATGTGGCTTATCTTGATTTCAGTAAAGCATTTTCCACTGTCTCCCAGAGCATCCTTGCAGCTAAACTGAGAGTGTGTGGTTTGGATGATCAAGTAGTGAGGTGGATTGTGAATTGGTTGAAGGAAAGAAGTCAAGAGTTGTGGTCAATGGGGCAGAGTCTACTTGGAGGCCTGTATCTAGTGGAGTCCTTCAGGGGTCAATACTAGGGCCAGTACTGTTTAATATATGCATCAGTGACCTGGATGAGGGAACAGAGTGCACTGTCAGCAAGTTCGCTGATAACACAAAACTAGGAGGAGTGCTTGACACACCAGAAGTTTGTGCTGCCATTCAGTGAGACCTGGACAAGCTGGAGAGTTGGGCAGGGAGAAATCTAATGAAATGCAAGCCTCTACACTTGTCCTTGTTGTATCTGGGAAAGAATAACCCCATGTACCAGTATAGGTTGGGGGCTGACCTGTTAGAGAGTAGCACAGGAGAAAGGGACCTGGGGGTCCTGGTGAACAGCAGGATGACCATGAAAAATAGTTACTGGTCTTACAATTGAAGACCAGTAACTGTCATTCATTTGACTGACGTGCTGTGCTTGAAGCAGAGTATTACAGATATGACTGGTCAGGTAAGAAGCGTGTGAAATTTTGTTGGTAGCTGTTCCTTTTAATGGGCTTTTGAACCTTTAGAACTAATTGCCCACCTAGGCATGATAAGCTTACTTTTAACGTTTCACAGGGTACTTGACACAGTATGGACTTAAAGCTCTTAGTGAAGAGGTATTTGGTAGAACTGCATGAGGTAATGGTGTTTCCTGCAATGCTCTGGTTCTCAGGGAGCTGAAAACTGCTTGGAGGGCCTGACATTCGTCATTACAGGCGTTCTGGAGTGCATTGAAAGAGATGAGGCTAAGTCTCTGATCGAACGTTATGGAGGAAAAGTAACTGGCAATGTCAGCAAGAAGACAAATTACCTGGTTATGGGGCGAGACTGTGGCCAATCTAAATGTGAAAAGGTGAGCGAGTGTTCCTGGGCCTGAGCAAAGCAGAAATGAAATGGAATTGTTCATATCTAACGGTTGATTTTTGGTCTCTCTGCCAAAAGGAGGCAGTACCACCAATAAAGTGCATGTTGAAGAGGAAAAGTTGTCTCATGTTCTAGGGCTTTTTGTTTTCAGTTATGTGTATACACACACATGTACACGCATGTATTTATATATTAGAAAAAAAAAAACCAACAACAAAACACAACAGAAAAGACTCCAGACTCTGTTGTTGTGTTCCTCAGGATCTTTATTGGAAATTGCTTTGAAGTGAATTGTGTAACTCCTAATTTGACTTGACTTGACTTTTAACTCTTCCTTTTGCTCCAGGCATCAGCTTTAGGGACAAAAATTATTGATGAGGATGGCCTGTTTGATCTTATTCGAACTATGCCAGGCAAAAAGTCCAAGTATGAGCTGGCAGCTGAAACAGAGGTTGGTTTATAATAAACTGCACAGTTTTGTGTGTGTGGTTTGCTTTTAATCGATAGGAGTTGTGGTCTTAGTCTTCTGTTCCAGTAACAGTAACCATACAACTGTCAGTTTGACCTTCTAGGTTAAAAGTATTGAAATTGAAAATTTTATGTTTGTGTTTAAGACTTCTTGTTGGGAGCTATAGGGTTTTTTCCCCACTTTTCACTTTTATACTCTGATGTTATTCTGTATTTTAGGTATGTGGCTGAGGGGATGATTGTATCTCCTTAGATGGTTCAAATTTTAAATTTTGAGTGTTGGTTTGTTCTTGGAAATAAGTATTTGTGACTGATATAGTGTGGTAGCCAGGCAGGCCCAATATAAAAGGAGCATGTAAGCATGCAACAGCTGTATGTCAACCATATGTATATGTAGTGGATTTTGTCCTTGTGGTACTCGAACTAGTAATATTAGAGGTAAATTTTGGTGGGAATATTATAAAAATATTTTAAAATTTATTTTATT